ACCTTTTCAGAACTTCTACATAGAAAACTTGACTAACAGTCTGACCTGGTGGATGAACTCCAAATGCACTATCCCCCACACATCAAAAAAAACAAACGAGCCCCATCTTGATCTTTGATTTCATTTGCTGGGTGAGGTGGCGATGGTGTCTTCCACTGGCTTGATTGATGTTAGCTTTGGGGTTTTAAGAATAGCACCATGTCACCAGTACTGACCTTGGAAAAGTCTGGGTCGCTTAGCTGTTCTTTCAAAGCTCATGTTGCTACTCAACTCTTATTTTCCTGGTCAGTCAGAACCTTAGGCATAAATTTCAAAGTGACCCTTCTCATTCCCAAATCTCCCTTTAAAATTCACAGAACCAACCTCCAAGATAGTCCAGATAACTTCCCCATCTCTTCAAAGGTCCATTGTCGGTCTTCAAGCACAAGTGGATGAGTTTTGTTTTGTCAACATTTTCATCCATTTGAGAAGTTGACGCATGTCCAGAATGAGGTTTATCAACCTTTTTTGAAAAAGAAAACCACTTGTACACTTGTCTTTCCCATAGCGCTGTCCTTGTAAGCTGTGTTCAACATCACGTTTCAGCAACATTTTTACCCAAACAGGAACCAAAATTTCACAGCTGCACGGTCTCTTAAATTGGCCATCACAAAAAACAAGGTGGGCTGTTATGGTACACTTGGGATTGCAATGCGTTGAAACAAAATGTGCATGGATTATTGAATATAAAACTTATGGTCAGTCATTCTGTAAATCTCCACCCAATTAACAAAGATTAATAGGTGCTTTGCAGGGGGGAAAGAAAGGGTTCCAACAAAACTTACTAAAAAATCAGAAAACCTTCCCAGGTGATGCCACTGGGAGCACCTAAGAGCAAGTTGCTGCATACTCCACTAGTGGGAAAAATGCACTGTGAAAGCTTGACAAGCAGAGCCTTTTTTTTGTACCCCATATTATTGTGGTAAGGTATATTGAAATTACTATTAAAAATAAGCAATTCACCAATTTGCATGTCACCTTGTATACGGGCCATCCTGTCATCTTGTGCTGCCTAAGCACACTACCACATTTGTACAGGGCAGTAGTACTGGTGCCTCCATTAAAGGGCCCTACAACAGCAGTCTCAATCTGTCTGGGTCACCTGTAGTTTGGATCTGCAGGTTTTTATTGAAGGTTGGTTGTTCAGACTTGGTGGGCAACATTGCCAATTGTCCCTATTTCTTCACTTAATAGACAAGCAGATACTGGGCACAGTGGCAAGTGAGAAGAACAGCTTTTATCTAAGAGAGCATGTGGGACTAGGCAGAAAAGTTTTAAGCTTTTAAAATTACATTTACCTGCAGTGACCATTAAATGAATTAGAAAAGACGTTGATTTGGAGAGTTATTTCAAGGTGGAACCAAGACGTGATCCATTACAAGTGGTTGCTAGGAAGGAAAGCTTTGAGATGCTCATGGAGACAGCATCACTATCCTATGAGGTGAGACACTAGAACACACGTCTGGGTATCAGTTCGACGTAGACACAAATCAAGGCAAAGGCTGACTAGAAGGGGAAAAGGGCAGGTACTGAGTCCTAAGAACTCCAACACTTAAAAGTAGCATACAAGCAATTGAACAGCCCTGGCTTTTCTCTTTCCATTAACAAGGAGTCTCATGAAGTTTTATTCAATTTCAAAGGTACAGACAAGAAGCAAACTTCAGTGACACACAATGTAGTAGTGTAATTATTGACTTGGACAGCCAAGGTTGTTCAGAGAGCCAAGAGCTATCTGGATTACCAGCTATTCAGTTCCTACCATTACTCCTAACTAGAATGGAACTGAGGTATATTTACAGCGAAAGCACGATTTTTAAATGTCAAAGAAAGAATACCTCTTTGAATAGAGCTTGGTTCTATAAACGGGTCATTTAGTTTATTGGAGAAAACCTTCAAAATTTGGCTTGATTTTTACCAATAGCATAGTGGCACAAACTCTCCTAGTTTGTTTTGCTCAGTTATTTAAAAATCGGTACAGGCCAAAAATTTCCTGAAACACCCCATTTATAATTGAACTTGATCTTTATAGCACCCCAAGTGCTTTATACATATGCAGTTCCAGAACCTACAGTAACAAAACCAGCCACTCTAACCATGTGAACAAGACAATGGTTCCTCTAGATAAGGTCTTACAAAGCAAGGGATTCTCATGTTTGCTACTCTTCTTGGGCAGTATAGTAGGCACTGTAAGCAATGAAGCTTTTAAAATCTTAACTCAGGTTCTACATTAAGCTATTAAACTGACAGTGACGCAGTGCCTGTGTAAAGTATTTTTATCCTAATTCATTAAGGGCTGAGGTGATAGTCTTAGAATTTAGATAGTACTAAGTGAACTAGAAAATGGGAATGAACGGATTTTATAGAGTGGCTGAATGTGGCCTTTCCAATGCAGATTAGTGTAATGATGCACAGGTAGGTACAAGGCAATGATAAAATCTATTACTGTAAACGAACTGCTTACCAGCCTCCAGATTCTACTGAACTCAAGCTTACTGAAAAAATCTTTGATTCCTTAATCTTGCTCTACGTCTTTAGGCTTCAAAGGTCTGGTGAACATAATCAAAATACATAACATTGAAAACTTTAGCATCTACATTACCAAGTTTCAGTTGTCAGTTAATCCCAGCAAACAGATTAATCAGTGAAATTTCAAAAAGATTTTCCCAAATCCATTACACCCAACAATTTAAAAACAAAACCATTTACCTGTACTATTTTCATTGAATGGAAGGAAACCCCGCCCCCCCGCAGGGATACATTTATATTCAAGGAACAGCTGATGGGAAATGCCTATGACGGTTTAGGTTACAAAGTATAACTGCCTAAAGACAGCTTAGGAAGAAAACAAATCTTTTATTTTCTAACTCTGGTTGGAAAAAGTTTCAGCGTATGGATAAGCATAAAAATATGTTTGTCATGTCTGGCTGTGCACTCTCAATGGGGAAATAACCTCTTTATGTACAAAGTAGATACACATCCATCTTCAGCATTGTCTGTGGTATTAAGACTTTCTGGAGAAGGAACAAGGGGGAAATGTCTAAAAAAGCTGCACTAATAAGATATGCTAAAAAAAAAAAAAAAAGCACTGCATTGAGGGCCGGGGGAAAAAACAATCACATGACAAAAAATTTCTCGTCCACATCACCAGATTACCTGTATTGTCATATTGTTCTCTTAGATAGGACCCCAGACTGAGAAATGTAATCTAGGGTTATCCTTAGAAACTGAGAGAGCGGTGTAGCCAATCATCAATATAAGTACAGCTTTAACACCAAGAGTTACATCTTTAAAAAAAAAGCATTCCCTTCCTTTACATACTGTTACAGGTGAATGGCCGATAACACTGTCATCAGTAAACACTGTTATTACACAGGAAAAAGGCTTGCTTTTCTATGTGGGGCACATATTAAGACACAGGACACGTGGTACGGCAGTAACATGCAATGACCTGGCTCTAAAAATGTGTTAATGTCATTTTAGTTACCTCAAAATTACATATATTTGTGTGTAGGAGTCAAACCATCGGAGTAATTAATACTTACACAGTAGTCATCTGAACGCCTGGCATAAAAGACCATTCATTAAACAAAGTGTACAAAAAAATAAAAGATTGACCTATAAAACATAAGTGTAAGGATGGACTTTATTAAAAAAAAAAAAAAAAACAAATTTTTGAGGACTACAACTTACACAGTAGTCATCTGAACGCCTGGCATAAAA